GCATACATCAGTACTTTTCCTTTTGGTGGCTGAATAATATTCCATTGTATAACCATGCCACATTTTGTTTATCCATTCAGTTGATGGCATTTGGATCGTTTCCACCTTTTTGCTATTCAGAATAATGCTGCTATGAAAATTCATCAAATTAATTTTTTTCTTAAGGTGCTGTACTGTTGTAACTAAGAAATCATAGCCAAACCCAAGGTCATGAAGATTTGCCCTTGTTTTCTTTTAAGAATCTGAAGTGTAAGAGTTTTAGCTCTTGCATTTAGGTCTCTGATACATTTTTATTTACTTTTTTGGTGTGAAGTAAGGGTCCAACTTCATTCTTTTCTATGTGTCTATCTAGTTGTTCTAGCACCATTTGTAGAAGAAACTATTCTTACCCCATTGAATGGTCTTGGCAACCTTGTCAGAAAAGCAGCTGGCCATATATATAATTACTTGGTTGTTTTTGTGAGACAAGTTAATTTCTGTCACCAAGGGATTTATTATCAAGCACTTTGAAGGAGGGAGGTGCTGTGCTAATATTGAACAGAACGGTGACATTAATTCAGAAGGGATGCTCATTTTGACACTGTAGCTCTATTCGTATTTTCATTTCTTTAAACATTTAGAGCCAACCTTTTGTATTCTTTCCCCTTTACCATAGAAATCTAATGTTGAATTTGTTTTATCCTTGATAGACAGATGTACAGAAGATTTTAAGAAATGCAAGGAAATTACCTGAAAAAACACAGACATTCTATAAGGTGAGACTATCAGAATTACAGTGGAAGAGGGTGAGCCCTGGGATGGGTGCCAAAAATAAATGGTTCACCATAGTTAGTGTAGGGTCATAGAGTGAACATGGACAGGTGTTAGAAATAGATGGCTTGTGCTTCAGTTTTTTTCATCAGTAAAGTCAGTAGAAGTGATAGGTCCATTTTGCCCTAAAATCCAAGAATTAGAAGTGCTTAAATGGCCTGGTTCTGTGCAAAGGGCTTCTCTGTGTTGGTGCTGCTATGACTGGCTAAAGGAAGGAGTGGAAAGGACCTTAACCCTCATAGCCCTTAACCTTTTCACCATTCCCATGTGAGTATCCAGCCTAACCCCAGGCTACCATTGTATGTGACTTCCTGGGATGGTGATGGCCCAGGACATTCTTACTGTACCAGAAAAGCTGCTCCCGGGAATGACTTCTAAAATTGCACATTTATGAATTGCAAAAGGATGGCCCTCAGGAATCATACCTAGCTAATTCAGAACCATTGGTGGAAGGAATAAAGTTACAAGGGGTGAGGTGGAGTGTGGGGCCTTTAAGCTCACTCATTTCTCCCCTGTCCTTCTGGTGTTTGGCTGAAATCAAATTAAGTAGCAGTGTGAGGTATGCTGCTGTCAGTTGTATCCTAGTTTGCTAAGCTTAAAATGTGGACACACAGACAGCCCTAGGCTAGCATTTCTTCCAGAGAACATACATGCTACTTTGTCTGGATGTTATTTCATTACCTTTATGTGACTATTGTCTTCAAACCTAATTATGTAGTGAGCTGGTGAAATCAAGGAAGAGCAACCTTAATCAGAGTTCAACACCAGCAAGCTGGCCAGCCTGCCATGCCCCCTAACTGAAAGCCAGCTCACACAGCCCTTGGTGACCATTCTGGCTGTGGTCCTTCTCCCTGCAGAGCTTTCTACACACAATCATCAGCTTCTATTCAAGATGACACACTTGTACTTTGGCCTTTTCAACTTTTCACTTATTTATCAGATGATAGAGAAGTGGTCAGAAAGCCCATTTCTCTTTTCTGGATTTATATAATCCCACATATCACAGCTGGAAAGGGCCTCTACCAGGCAATTGCTTCAGCCCCCGCAGTGGGCAGGGAAGAGGTTATCCTTCTCACTTTGTAAATGAGGCCACTGAGACCCAGTGAGGCTCTACACATTGCCCAGATCACGCTGCTAAGTGTGCTAAGTGGTTGATGGGGCACTTCCTATTTCTCTGCTTCCATTCACTACCCCACTTTTTGTTTGTTTTTTTAGAGAGAGAAAGAAACATTGATGTGAGAAAGAAATATCTATCGGCTGCCTCCTGCACACTCCCCACCTCAGATTGAGGCCCAAACCCGGGCATGTGCCCTGACCAGGCATCAAACTGGCAACCTTTTGGTGCATAGGTCAATGCCCACCCAACCCAACTGAACCACACCAGCCCAGATCCACCTTTCTTTTTGTGGTTGTCTTTTGATCAGGCTTCTGACTCCTCCAGAGCCTCCTCCAATGTGTTCAGCAGGAGAGGCTAAGAGCCCTCTGAGGTTTGGGACAAGCCTTTTCCATACCTGAGTAACAGGAAAAGTAAAACCTCCTTAGAGTTATGAGAAAATGAAATGATGTATGTGAAGTGCCTCACAACATTTGCATGAGTGCTCATTAACTGTGGTGGTGATGACCTGTTTCAGTCAGTGTCTTTCTTACTGCTTCTCAGTTATGGCATCACACTCTCATTACAGGGTCCCTAGGCGATCAGGGCCGATCAGGCGATCAGGGCCGATCGGGGCCTTCCAGCTGCCGGCCAGGGCCTTCCTTCGTTCCGCGCCGCCCCCTGGTGGTCAGCGCTTGTCATAGCGAACAATCGAACTCCTGGTCTCCCGGTCGAACTCCTGAGGGGACACTTTGCATATTAGCCTTTTATATAGAGAGATGCTCACTTCAGTTTTGGGGTCAATGAGAACTTATTCTAAGCTGAGCACTTAGAAAGTATGTACTCATTCCAGACAGAGAAAAGGCTGACTGGCTCGGTCAGGAAGTCAACAGGATGGAAGAAGATGAAGTGGGAGTAGAAATCAGTCAAGAAGTGGGGCCAGGCCAGTGTTGCTCAGTGGTTGAGCATCCACCTGAACCAGGAGGTCATGGTTTGATTCCCAGTCATGGCACATACTCGGGTTGTGAGTTCAACCCCCAATAAGGAGGGTGCAGTAGGCAGCTGACCAATGATTCTCGCTCATCGTTGATGTTTCTCTCTCTCTCTCTCTCTCTCTCTCTCCCTTCCTCTCTGAAATCAATAAAAATATATTTTTTTAAAAGTGGAGACCACAAATGGAGCTTTGAGAATTTGATAGTCTACCAGTGTACATAATTTCTGCCTAATTATGTACGTTATTCAGCAAAAATTAGGTCATCATAGTTGAGGTATATGTGTGCTATTTGCAGATAAGAAAAGGTGGTTGTAGTTTCTTAAAAAGTATTTCACAAGAATGGTTTTAAACAAATCTACTTATCCAGTTATACCTTTGAATAAAAGCCTGCTTTTAGCCAGAAAGTTCTGCTCAGTGGTTAGAGCATTGGTTCTCAGACTGAAGGATATTGGGTTTAATTCCCGGTCAAGGGCATGTATCTCAGTTGCGGATTAGATCCCCACACCCCAGTCAGGGCGTATGTGGGAGGCAACCAGTTGATGTGTCCCTCTCACATGGGTGTTTCTCTCTAACCGCCCCCCCCCCCCGCCCAATCACTTTCACTTTCTCTAAGAATCAATGAGAAAAGTATCCTTGGGTGAGAATAAAAAAAAAAAAAAGTTTTTTGGTGTTTTTTTTTAATATGTGATAAGGAAATTGCATTTTAGGAACATTCATGTTTTTCTTATCTTATTTCAGGAACTGAACCGTTTACGAAAGGCTGCCCTGGCCTTTGGTTTCCTGGACCTGCTCAAAGGGGTGGCTGACATGCTGGAAAGGGAGTGCACGCTGCTGCCCGACACAGCCCACCCCGATGCAGCGTTCCAGCTGACCCACGCTGCCCAGCAGCTCAAGCTGGCCAGTACTGGCACCTCCGAGTACGCTGGCTACGACCACAACATCACACCTTTGCAGACAGACTTCTCCGGGAGCAGCACTGAAAGAATGTAAAGCTGACTTTGGGAGCCTTCCTTCCTTCTCATTTTAAGTCCAAATGATTTCGGGTAAAAACTTCTCCAGGGTGTTCACCTCTGCAGCCACCACCTGAAGACCTCCCTGAGGCTGCCTCAGAAGCACCCCTTGCTGGTTTGAGTGACTGCAACAGTCCGAGAAGGGCTTTGACCTTCGCTTTCTAAGCTCTTTCAGCCCAGAAGACACCTGTGGCTCCCATGATGGGGACATCTGAGAAGCTTGATGGTGTGATGGGTACAGAGCTCTCTCCCTTCCTCAGGAAACCTAACCCACAGGGGTCCTCTGGCTTTCTGAAAGGCATCTTCTCTCCTCTCAATCATAAGGACATTTTCAAGATTCTGCCCTTGGAATGAGCAACCCAGACTGGGACTAGCTAAGGACAAGCCCTACACCACTAAGTTTCGGAACTTTTCTTAGAACTTGGGCAAAACTTAGTGGTAACACTTAGGTGCTTTTGGTATGTCTTGAGATACAGACTTTTAAACAGCAGCCATAAATGTAAAAAATTATTCCCATTTCTTCAAGCTTTGTTTTTTAATAAAGTATTTGATTTTCTATAAAATGGTTTCACTGGTAAATTAATGAGTCTTTGTCTTTTGGTCTGTCCTGTCTGGATATAATTTCAGCTTTCTGTGCGGCAGATTCATAAATCATGAGGGTTCCTTGGGTTCCATACTGACTTCCTTGTTTCTGACACCTGTTAGGCCTCATTGCCTACGCCAAGTTCCATTCAGGTAGATTCTGACAGGTAGTGCAGTCAGCTCCCCTTCCAATTCATCAGCTAGCTTCATGACATTGGGCAAGTCCTGTAGCTTCTCTAGGTTTTATTTATATTATCAGTGCTTTTCAAATTGCTCTGTGGACCGCCTAAAGCAGTGGTCGCCAACCGGTAGTCCGTGGACCACTGGTGGTCTGTGAGGTCCGAAAGGTTGGCAACCGCTGGCCTAAAGTATTACTCCCTCAGGCTTCAACCTGAGCATCTACTTTTGGTTTAACATGCTGAACTGCTATATAATATTTTGTCTGGAAAAAGGACTTTATCACTAACAATTTGAAGACCATTAGAGTAAATAAATGATCTTTAAACACAAGTTAGGATTTTGACTGTAAATGTTTAATAGAAATACACAATCTTTTGCTTTCTCAGACAGCAACAAAAAGGCTTGTAAGAATGTAAGATTCTGCCACAGATGCAGCATAATCTGCAAAGCTAATCTGCAATAATTACACACAGAAACTCAGGTGAAAGAATATCAGAAGTTAATACAAACAAGTATTGACAGAAGTTACAGACATGCAAAATATCCTTCAGTGCAATGAACTTGTAAAAAAATCAGCCAGTCTATGCTAATCATAGGTTTTTAGGTCAAACCAAGTTTCAATCTTGGGCTCAGAGAAACAGCATAGCTCATTTAGTCCCCTTTTCCCCAGGAACAATGGGAATGGCACAATTGAGAAATCGTGCCTTAAATTCTTTCATACAAGCATTACTTCTAACACATTTTGCTTGGAATGTGGAAGAAATTGATGTTTTTGACAATGGCCAAACTTCATGCCTACATTTTTTTCAGTTCCTCTGTTGGTGGGTTTCCTGCCAGGAGTCTGTGTTAATGGACCAGCTGATGATTCTCTAGCCAATGTTCTCTGTTCACTGTCCTACTTCAGAGGTGAAACAACAGCAGAATAAAAGGTGTTTTGAGGTCTACTAAAAAACAAACAACCCCACCACTTACTCTGACAGGTACACAAGTGGACTTACCCAGGTCAGGGAAAAGAAGCTGGAGTTTTTTATGTTTGTGCACAGCCTAAGGCAGTTTTGCAGGTGTGTTTAGACTGGCCTACTCTAGTGTTCCCGGTTTGCTACAGGCTGCATTGCAGGCAGCTGTCTTGTGGCCAGTTTGACCTTTCTGACCCCTGTAACCATTTGGGGTTGGAACTCTTATAATCTCATTATTTTCTAACTCATGTTTCATCTTTCTTTAAAGTTGAAAATAGTTCTGATTTATCTTGGAATGAAGTAAGTGATCATGGTGTTCCAAGGTTCTGACTGGTTTCTCTCAAATCATTGTGTGTCCACACAGGTAAGCACTGTATAGTAACAGATATCGTTAGAGAGGCCAAGAAATTCAGAGGTAATATTTCTCGAGGCCCACCTGGACTCAAATGTTTTATCAGTGACCGAGTCAAACAGATTTTCAAAAAACCAACGCCACTCCACTTATTAAGTAACCCTTTGGGTACAGAATATATTAGGTCCTGCCTAGGTCACTTTCACAGGCTCCTATAGAGCAAAACAGTCTTGTTTTTCTTCCACAATCAATAGCTGAAAAGAACAAATTCCAGCTGTAAGAATGGCCAGTACCTAGTAGGTCCAGGTCACTGATGAAATCTCTGGCTTGTGTGAAACAGACTGACTGGACACGGAGTGGGTGGGGACAGGGCTGTCTGATGTCACTAACAGATTACAAAAGAACCAACCTGTCATCAGATATCATGCAAGTACTACACTAAGATAATACAATAAATTCAGGATGTAACTGGGGAAAGGGGAAGATAGCCTTACTGAGAATTTAATCATTTAACGTTAAAAAAAACTTTTACATCAGTACAAGAAGGTAAAACTGTAAGAATTATAGATTAGGCTCAAAGTCTACATGGCAAGAAGTCATCTAAATCTCTTTTCAGTGGATTTTCTTCTTTTTTTGTCCATAGTGCCGCCTGCGCTGTTTATAAAGGTGACGGAAATTTATGTATAACCCTGAAAAAGAAAAGAGGCCAATCAGACATGAGAATCTTTGTCCTGTTTATAACCAGAAGCTCTTGGGAAGGGACAGTCTAGTTGGCTGTTTTTCATACCCCTCTGTGCTTACTGCAGCTGCTCAGGAAGTACGATTCAGTAACAAGTTAGTAACAATGCACTAGAGACCACTCAAATTTCTCCCAGTGGGTTTACAATTTCACTTTCTCCCATATTTTATTATAAAAATTTTCAAACATACAAAAAAGATTAAGTCATTGTACAGTAAATGCCATCTAGATTAAACCTTAACTCTATTACATTTTTTTATCACATATCCATTCCCATCTAATTTTTTATATTTTTCAGTAAAAGTTACAGACATCAATATCCCTAAACATTTCCTTAGAGTTCACAATATTTTTCTCCCAATTTCTTTTTAAGTAAGACTTACATAAAATACACAAATCTGAAGTATAGAAACAACCCAATTTTTAATTCAAGGCTATGCAATAAACTGTATTAAGCAATAGTTTAAAAGGTGTGTGTGGGGGGGGAGTAATAGGGGGTAAGGACACATATGTAATACCTTAATCAATAAAGAAATTAAAAATAAAATAAAAGGTGGGGGATACTTTTCTAGGAAGCACAATCTTCTCATTTAGAAAATACAGGATTTCAGCCCAGCCAGCATGGCTCAGTGGTTGAGCATCAACCTATGAACCAGAAGGTCACCGTTCAATTCCCAGTCAGGGCACATGCCCAGGTTGTGGGCTCAATCCCTAGTATGGAGCGTGTAGGAGGCAGCCAATCAATGATTCTCTCTCATTTTTACTGTTTCTATTTCTCTCTCCCTTTCCCTGCCTCTCTGAAATCAATAAAAAAAAATATTTTTTAAAAAAACAACACAGGATTTCAGTCAGAAAGAACAAATTTCAGTTCTACTTCATCACTGTGGCTTAGCCTCACTTCAGTTTCCTCACTGTGCAGCAGAGTTCAAAACACTTATTTTACAGACTGATTGTGAGAGAACATAGGTTTAGAAAAGCACTTTGATCTATATACAAATGTAACTGGTTGTTATTACTGCTTCTAAATTGTGCAGATTTAGGATTTATTTCATTATGAAGAATAAGAACAACTGCATATTCATTGTAGGCAAACTAGATGAGTATAAAACCTTAAAAATTAGAGTGTACAACATAAACAACATGAAAAAAGCCACTAAGGTTAGTGCACATTAAAATACTTCTACCTTTCTAACTTCTTTAGTAAAATATTTTAAGGTCTTTCCAATATTGATCCCTCTTTAACCCTTTCAGTATGCCCACCTCGTGGAGCCTAATTACAGTAATAGTTTATCCAGTAACAGAGGTGAAGAGCTCTTAATGAGTGCATTTTCCAAACTGAAGCTTATTCCCTTCAACTGCCCAACTATTTTAACACTTTTGGTTAGAAATCTTTCTGAAATGTATTACACCTTTTCTGAAATATAAGAAATGGAATAAAATTTAATCTTTAGCAAATTACCTACACCCATAAGTTGTACTATTAACTGTGCTTCTGCCATGTACGCTATCCCGAAGTGTAGGTCTCTTCTCCCTGACACTAAATGACCAAGACCGCTGGACTTTCTGGCTTCTTGGGTTTACTTTTTGTGGTCTTCCTCTCAGTGTCTGTGGTAGCCACCCTCCAAGATGGTCCCAGTGATCCCTACACCTCTTGGTATTTCATACCCTTGTGTAGTTCCCTCCCATACTTTACTAAGTAGGTCTAACGTAACCAACAGAATATGGAAAAAGTGACGGTATGTCACTTCTGTGATTAGGTTATAAAAGTGTGGAGATACCAAAAATTCATCTGGAATAAAAAACGACCCCGAATAGCTGCAGAGATCCTGAGAAAGAACAAAGTAGGTGGGATCTCAATACCAGATATCAAGCTGTATTACAAAGCCACTGTTCTCAAAACTGCCTGGTACTGGCACAAGAACAGACATATAGATCAATGGAATAGAATAGAGAGCCCAGAAATCAGCCCCAACCAATACGCTCAATTAATATTTGACAAAGGAGGCAAGAACATACAATGGAGTCAAGACAGTCTCTTCAATAAATGGTGTTGGGAAAATTGGACAGATACATGCAAGAAAATGAAAATAGACCACCAACTTACACCATACACAAAAATAAACTCAAAATGGATAAAGGACTTAAATATACGACGGGAAACCATAAAAATACTAGAAGAATCCAAAGGCAACAAAATCTCAGACATATGCCGAGCATTTCTTCACCGATA